CTCAACTGGTTTCAGAGAAAGAAAATAAAGCTGCTAGAATGGCCCAGGCGATCAGCTGACATGAATCCAATAGAAAATCTATGGAAAGAACTAAAGATCAGAGTTCATAGAAGAGGCCCACGGAACCTTCAAGATTTGAAGACTGTGTGGAAGAATGGGCCAAAATCACACCTGAGCAATGCATGTGACTAGTCTCTCCATACAGGAGGCGTCTTGAAGCCGTCATTACCAGCAAAGGCTTTTGTACGAAGTATTAAATCAATTTCAGTAAGCGTGTTCAATACTTTTTCCCTGTCATTCCATTTTATTGCACATAACTTTCATATTTGTTTGGTTCTTTGTATGTATGGATTAGTTGGGTTGTTACTGACATCTGGTGAAAAGTTCATGTCAACAGCACCTTTAGAAATATATTTACTGAGAAAAATGGTGACGTGTACAATACTTATTTTACCCGCTGTATATAATGTTTATCCTAACCATACATTAACATGTAGCTGCCACATAAATGTGTGTGTGGAGCAAAACTTCTGTAATTTCCTGGTGTGTGTGTGTGTGTGTGTGTGTGTGTGTGTTTGTTTGTTTACAGAGCATGAGAAGGAAGAGGGTCTATACATTTATACTTTGGGCATTTCTTTTCATCACTTGAACTTGGATGTGTAATTTGGTCGGTTTCATGTTTGATGTGTTGATTTTTGCTTTGGCCTCGCTGTAACAGGGCAACTGTGCAGAGAACACAGCCAAGAAGAGCAGCATCACCAGGGAGGAGCAGGACGCCTACGCCATCGGCTCGTACAGCCGCAGCAAAGCAGCGTACGAGTCCGGCGCGCTGGCCAAGGAGATCGTGCCTGTCAGCATTCCCCAGAGAGGTACAGCGAGATGGTCTGGGGCCCGTGAACGTTGGTCGTTTACTAAATATAGCCGAGCATATCTGATGTGGATATGGTTCTGCAGGCAAACCTGATGTGGTCGTGTCCGAGGATGAAGAGTGGAGGCGGGTCGACTTCAGCAAAGTTCCCAAACTGAAGACCGTGTTCCAGAGAGAGAATGGTAACAATGCTTTCATTACGTACTTCCATTTTGCACATTTTTAATTGTCGTGCTCATTTACAGAACCTTCCATCCTGTAGTGACTCATAATACTACTACGCTTGGTATTCAAGTTGTACTCTCCTGCTGCCAATTCTCTTTGGAATGTAATCTCATGCTCCTGTCAATTTCAACTGCAAAGCCATCTTTTGGAGGGAAAAGTAATGATGTTAATCATTACTTTATTTTAATGTACATTTTGTTCTCTTCACCTGCTCCTCAGGCACAGTGACGGCGGCCAATGCCAGCACACTGAACGATGGAGCAGCCGCTCTCGTTTTAATGACAGCAGATGCTGCAAAGAGACTCAACGTCACTCCACTGGCCAGGATCGTCTGTAAGCTTTACACACACGCACACACTCTAAGCTGTTCTTGCAGAGCTTAACTGAAAATGAGGTTTTAAATATAATTGAAATATAGCTTGTGTGTTTCCTATTACCAAATCATTAAACAGGACCTTTTTATTTGTCATAGTAATTACTACATTGCAAGATTGATATGTAATGTTTCTTTCCATAGCTTTTGCTGATGCTGCTGTTGCGCCCATTGATTTCCCCATTGCTCCTGCATTCGCTGTACCAAAGGTGAGTCCAGGTCAATGTAAATAGTAGCTTTTAGTAACATCTGGTCTGATGCTTAAATTGACCTAAATGCTGATTGAATATGTATACTGACTGGCCTGATTCAAAACTGAACTATTGTACAAAATCAGCTTAAGCAGTTGACGTGATGTGGATGAAAGTTTATCTGAGATAATATGACTCTTGAAACTTATGTGACGCGCTCTGCTGAGAGAAATGACGTGTAGGGATTGGACAATATAGGATTTTACTACGGATCACAATTCAAAACCATCAATAAGTTGATCGTGGTGAATTTCCATTATCAAGATAATCAGAAATATCCTCATGAGTGACATGAAGAAGCTGTCTGGCTCCCTATCATGGTACAGAAGTGATGGAGCTGGATTACAGGAGTTATTATGTAAGAAAGGAAAAACTCGCACTATTTCTTTATTTTTTATTTTTTTTTATCCTTATGTGGGAGGACCGTATGATTTATAATGACCTTGTTTACTTTTGTTTTTTTTACTAAATATGTTCACTAAAAAAAAGATGCATCCTATATGTGATGCAAAATGGTAAGGTAAAGTGATTCCACTATGTTTTAATGCCATTTTAAGAGTTTTAAGCATTTTGTAATGATTATCAGGATGAATTACAATTATTTTGGCCAGGATAACAGTGACTTATTGTCCCATGCCCAGTTGAGACTATAGAACACGGGTCTGAGTACAGATACCGGCTGCCTACAACAGCAGGTTAAATGTTGATGGCTAACGTTATTGACTGCTGATATGATCTGTCACCAGAGATGTTTGTCAATTCATCTGTTGACAGTGCCAGCTAAAACTGAGAATGTTTGTTTACTGTTCTTTGCAGATTACAGACTGCTCAGTGTCAGAGTTTAGCCAATCCGTGTATTTTAACAACCCGGGCGTCCCAAACACGATCAGCAAATGATCTTTAACACTCGTACTCGCTGACATGTGGAGTGAATAGCTCCAGTTGTTCAGTAATGAAAGGATCAGATTTTTTGGGGGAATATTTTAACAATGCATGAGAACGTGCAGCGCATACAGTACATTAAACATTACAAAAAATTACATAAGTTAAAAATAGATGAAATAAAATTAGGTAAATAAATAATTCCCCCTACCCAAACAGACCAAAACAGAACAGGTCGGTGCATAGAGTGAGACTGCAGTGACGCGGTGTATATTGTAACTCAGAGCTCCAAATAGTTACAGTCCTATGGTACTGTTAGTGTTGTACTCCAAATACGGCTGCCAGATTTTCAAAAGAGGTACAGTTGATGAAGAAAAGTATAATGAACAAGTCTGTACCGGGCAAAGGATCGGATTTTGATCGACTGTTTGTCACTGATGCATTATGAAATTCCCGGATCTGCTCCAATATGATCCTAAAGTTTGTCTGTGGACATCTTTAGCAATTCAGCTCTTTTCTGAGCAGTTTTTACGATTGTGTGTTATTATACATTTAATGAAGTCATCGCAGGAAATGATGGAACTGTTGGCATGGCAGTTACCCTGGAAGGCTTGATATATTCCTCGTGTATTCTCTTCTTTTACTAATTTATGCCTCAACTCCGGTGACAGCCGTGACTGGAGGCATTCTGTTTTCTGGTTGTCCGTCCGTCTGTACCATTCTCGGGAACGTCGTATCTCAGGAACAACTCGAGGGAATTTCTTCATATTTGCCACAAACAGTCACCTGGAATTGCAGAGGCTCTGATTTAGTATTTAACTTAACAATTCATATGGTAATTATGACTATTTCACACCAAAGGCTAATAGGATAAAATTATGAAGTGATGAAATTTTGGACAAACATGGATGTAAAATGCACCTTGACTGGTTGACAGACGTACAACCATTGAGCTATAATTCTTTGTTTATGCGTGTGTATTGTGGTTGTAAATGCACGAAAGAGAACCTGAATAATCAGATTTTTATAATCCAGGTTAAACTAATATTAATCGGGTTCAAAAATATACCCCATCCTGAACCACAGTGCTGTTATTCTGCTACTTCCATCGTGTGTCTGTGTCTGTGTGTCAGGTCCTGGATGCAGCAGGGCTGAAGAAGGAGGATATCACCATGTGGGAGATCAACGAGGCCTTCAGCGTGGTCGTGCTGGCCAACATCAAGATGTTGGACATCGACCCCGCGAAGGTCAACGTGAACGGGGGAGCCGTGTCACTGGGACACCCCATCGGGTAAGCAGCTGAGAGAGACTCCCAGTGGCTGTCTGGGTGTGACCTGGAATGAGGAGAAAAGAACAAAAACACGACCACTTTGCTTCTTTCAGGAAGAACAGAGCTGAAATGAGGAACAAGGTGTTTTCCAAAAATATTTCCTCCGTACATTCCTTCCCTTTGACCTGGAAACAGATTTTTGTTCTGCAATTTTTTTTAATCTGATCCAGTCGAGTTAGAGACAAAAGTTCAGACAAATTATCCAAACGGTACCCTTTACAAAAAGTAAAGGGTACTATGGGTGCTTGTTTTTAACGTTTCAACTAAAGAGTTTGTGGTTTTTCAGGACCGTAATGAATTAGCATTTCTTCTTTGTATTTCTTTACAGGTGTATTTCTTTAGTACTTGTACTAAACTCTAATGGCTGTATGATTTCATACATATTTTATTCGCCTTTAGCCGACAATCCCATTTTTGATTCAGAATTACCTTCAGCTTACTTTCAGTGTTCATACTTTTCAGGGTGAATTGTAGATGCAAGATATAAATGTATATAGAGAAACTGTTCTGATCACTGATACTGTATTTTCTCTTTCTGCTGTCAGGATGTCTGGGGCGAGAATCGTGGGCCACATGGTACACAGCCTGAAGTCGGGCCAGTACGGACTGGCAGGTATCTGCAATGGAGGCGGTGGAGCATCATCTATTCTCATCCAGAAATTGTAGGAAACTTGATGGAGGAACTTCTCTCTCCCTGAAACGCTGTGTGTTAAACTGTGTGTTCACTAGCTGTCCACTCCAAATGGCTCAGGCATCTGTAAAGTCCCCTTCTTACTGTGAAGAATGCTTCTGTTACAGCTTTAGTGCCCGTGGCCTTACCCAAGCAGCAAAGTAGTACTCGATACTCGATGCATGACGTCATGACTCAAGTGTTTGAGACACTCCTTTTGTTCGATGAAACTTTTATTAATATTTAACCCTGAATTGAAATGGTTAAATAAATAGTTTTTATGAAACCACTTTTGTGTTATTGATCTCTGATTAAAGTTTTGACCTGCATTAATTGAAGTTTCACAACATTACACTGTTTTGTTTTTAATAAAAAGAACAAAAGTTATACTACAGTAAAATAAAGTTGGTGCTGTCGTTTCAGAGTTGCCCACTAGATGTTGCTATTTCCTCTAATGTTAGGTGCACTTGTCCATGTTGCAGTGCGGAACCAGTCTGAATTGTTCGTTGCTTATAATCGTGGAGCTTATTTTCTGCCAGAGCTTAATTAAAGACAAATCTTTAATTAACGGCATTGTCATCTTTTTCAAAACAACAACAACCAACCAGAACCATCGCCCTAGGATGCAAATACAGAACGCCTTCAACAAATGATGCATTTTGTTTATTCAAATACTATACAAAACATACCCATCAAACAAATGCACAATATATTTAAGTCACACTTCATTTCACAGGTCTGCAAAATTCATGGTAAATGGGCGATAATGAGCAAGTAACGCTTTGGAAATTACCTCAAATATTTAGGAAATTACTCCAAACATTGTTTAATAATTCAGCTTTTTCCTAAAACGCAGGTAGTAAATAGCTGGTCATTTCTTTTTAATACATTCACGGGAAAAATATACCAAGTTAATTTATGGGCATCATTACAAACTCTTTATTTCCAGGTCTGCAGTTTCCTCGTACTTGGGTAACAATTTCCTTAAAAAGGTCTTTAAAGTCCCCCAAAATGTATTAAAAATCTCCCCAACACTATTTAGTAATTGTTTCTGAATGGTACTGTTTAAACTGTATGTGCAAATGAAACGCCTAAAGCCATTCGATTAGCTGCCAACACCTTTTTTCACACACATTACAGACTTGTTGAACCCTTTTTGCAAAAACCCTAAACACAAGTCTGATCTATAAAGCAACATGTTTTTGACCCACATTTTTACATCTAATTTAGACTATATCCTTGGACAGTGAGTGAGGTGATGGGAGATGATTATATCTATATGCAGTATGTAAAAAGTATCCTACGTTTGAGGTGATGTCACTCGGAAGGTATTTCTGTTCAGTCTCTTACTGGACGACTCTGGTCCTTCCTGTTCCTGTCAGTTAACGCAGTCAAATATTAACCGAAATATTAACAGGGTCTGAAAGTCCTAAGGACAAAAGTATTTATAAGCCGTTTGTTTGGACATTACTGATTAAACTGTCAGACATTTCTTGTTTGGAGGATTGGACAACAGCAATGTAAGAACCAAGTCTTTGTTGTACTTATACCTTTGTTTGTTGTCCTATAGGACCCTATCTGAATGACAGCTTGTCACCTGTTGACTTTTCCTCTCAGTCACACTGTTTATATTGTATATAATATAGAAAGTTATATATATAACATGTTACATGACACGTTTACTAGTTTCACTTTTTCGAGAAATTGCACTTTATCGTGGGACTTATGGAACATTTGAATTTCTGTGCAGTTAGTAGTTTGTTTCTGAGCATCAAAATTAGATTTTTCTACAGGCTGATTTCCAACTGTTGCGTAAAATCAGAAGGGTTTCGAGGAGGTAATGTCATTGGTGCAAATCCCAGTATATGCATATCACACAGCATTGAGGGGAGGGGGAGAGAGAGAGAGAGAGAGAGAGAGAGAGAGAGAGAGAGAGAGAGAG